AGCAGCATCATATGACCCCTTTAAATAATACAGTGCATAAACCTTTAAAGCACTGTTATGATGGCACTGTCTTCTTGGACATAGGTCAGCAGCTACTCCAAGAATATTATTTTATTTTTATTTTAAGAAATCATACATAGGCCTGTCATCATCATCACCAATGTCATAATATGCTTTTGTGATGTTTCCACATATATTGATCTTGGTGTAAAGTCACTGGTTCAGATGTGAGAGTCACTGGTAGACGACGACTGTGTGAACTGGACATACATGGAGGCTGTTTTAATAATTATCTCAGACTCCAGACGGTCACTTAATTTTGCATTGCTTTATTCCATATACACATATTATTTTGAAAGTTTCCTCGTCTTTTCAATCTGAGTTATATTCATAAAGCAATTACTTCCGTACTTTTAGTAACATTTAATGAATGTAACTAATATTTATATAAGCTACTACAATATAATTTTTATGTTTTTAATTTGCTATAAAGAGTCAAAATAAAAGACTTTCTAAAAAAGATAAAATTGTATTTGTTAACCTGCATGCCATGTTACTATTAACCGACATCAGAGAACTGTGAACATGAAAGTGTGTTCTTAAATTACTGAAATTTATACTAACTTGAATTATTCTCAGAAGATATTAATCTCAGGAGGAGTTGGGAGAACAGAGTTTGGCTGACAAAAAAAAATTGTTTTCAAACATTTTGGATGCTTTCACACACCATTATTAAACATATGACATGAAAGTAGGTTGTTTTTCAAACGCAACATATGGTCAAAGAACAGACGCATTTTAAAGGGACAGTTCATTCAAAAATAAAACTTCACTCACTCTCCTGTTGTTTCAAGGTTGTGTGACTCATTCTTCTGTAGAAGACAGTTTGAGAAATAATGACAGAGTTGTCATTTTTGGGTGCACTTATACCTTTTATCCATTAGTGCTTGGAGATTAGTGATTCCCAAACAGGTGAATGTGGAAAGATTTTGATGTTTTTTTTAAATAAATAAAAAAAAGCTTTAAAATATTAATAATAAAAAAGAAATATGTGACATATTTGCACATTAAATGCACATTTACTTGTAAGACATTAATAATTCTACATGATATCCATATAATATGAAAAAGAAAAAAGAACAGGATACTCACACCAGTTTTACTTATATACATTTTATTAGGCCACAGATACATTTGTAGAGGTTTATTTCAAGCACTGTTGTAAGCACACTGCACTAGTCACCAATGACAACTAGGTAGGCTACTAATCAAACTATTCAATCAAAATTTTGTCTCACAAATGAAATAAAAAGCTTAGCACATCAAAGAGTAAAAACTATATTAGCCTGGGTTAGCACAGGTTATTCGCTTGTTTGCTCTGCTCTGTGCCTGTAATCATTCAGGCAGAACAGCTCAGACGATTTATCACATTACACAAACTTATGCATTGTTTTGAGACTGTTGCAGTTAATTCTTCACATCGAAACTTTGTTACCTTTTCGAAATAGTGCACGCTTTTCAACTCGCTTTAATGGATTAATATTTTCGGTACCATTCGTTTGCGCGTTGTCTTAAGGACACGCCCACAATATGAGAACGAATGAATATTCATGTCACCCCACCCACTGGAACAGTTTTTCACAGGAACTGTATGGCGTTTAAGTCATGACTAGGAATATATTTTTAAATTTTTTTAATTCAATAATTAGTCATGTATAAACAACATGGCAACACCAATACCTATATGCATTAGAATATAAAAACAGGTATGAAACATGAAACATAAGGAATAGTCTATAGACTAGGGTGACCATACGTGCCATTTTCCCAGGACACGTCCTGGCCAGGATTTCTATATTGCCTAAAATATCTAGGTTTTGGCCTTGCCCTAACCCTAACCGATCGGTGTATGACATCAAAATACCATACAGACGGTTCCTTATGCTTTCAAAATGCTCTCGAGGCGCCTGGCGGATCCGACGAATGAGTGGCAATTTTTTTAACAACAGGAGATTGTAAATAACACAATTTTAGTAAAAGTCAATAACTGTGAGACTTGGATATTCTTTATTGAAAACATATTATGTAGCCTACATTTGAAAAAACAGCCATGGGTAAAATGACCCAGTGGCAGTTCTAGTGTTAATATAATAAATTAATAATGTAATAATTTTTTATCTAAAATTTCTTAATTCAAAATAATATGTGAATAAATACATATCTGATAATCCCAGGTTGATATGGCCACGCGGGTTTGTTTACGCATTAAATTTATGAGAAATTTAAAGAATTAAAAAAAAAGAGCTTAATTTTTTTTTAACTTAAGTGTTACAGTCATTTCTTAATTTATGCCAGGAGTTATGTAAATGAAAACCGTCGAGATCGATATGAAGCTTGAGTCGTAGACCTTTTTAATGATGTAAGTTAGTTTATGAAGTTAATTGCATCCTTTAACATTAAAACTAGCAGTAACTCTGAGCTCATGTAAACAAATAACGCTTCTGTGCTGGCGTCCTCCCACAGGTTAAGAGATTTTAAACAAACACATTAAGTTAACCAAATGAAACGATACACATTTTAATGCTATAAAAGTGTGCACATTGAGAGAAGTAAACAGCAGATGTTCATGTTAACAACTTCTTAATGATGGTGCCTGGATCAGTGAGCTGCTCTCGGGCCAATGACGTCACTTCCAGGGAGGCGTGCCCAGGCCTGTTGTACACGC